CATTAGCACCTCTAGTAATATATTTACTGAGAAAAATGTTGATGTGTTCAATACTTATTTTACCTGCTGTATTTGTTGTTTACCTGTACTTCACAGGCACACATCATTTGTATAATGTGCAAATAGGCTGCGTTGGGTCAACTGGCTCACCGTCAGCATTTGGATAGAACTTGAACTATGCCCAAATAACTGATTTACCATTGTTTTTTGGCACCAAATGGCTGTCTTGACTGCCCTATTAGCTGATTGGATCATCTGTTGGCGATAAACAGATCTTATGATCTGAAAATGGACAGTTTCCCATCCCTATTTCTTGGTTAATTCCTAGCTTGGAAAAAAAAAGAGAGCTGATATCAGGAAATTGAATAAGTAGACACATAGCTCCAAATTACCTTTGAAGGTGTTACTTAAATACTAAACTGTCTGCCATCGCAGCCCCTCCCTACTCCCTCCCCTACTCCCTCCCCTGCTCCCTCCCCTGCAGCTGTCTGTGATCAGCAGGATGGCAGAATTTTTCCACACAGCTGATTTGAATCTAACAGGTAGGTCTTTGTTTCTGGCTGTTTTTCCTGAACCAACCAGCATTTGTTTGGTGTAGATAGAATCTTCTTCTGTGTGACTCTAGGTGTGACAGAGTGTGGATGGTTCATTGTCTCTTTTGTGTCCCTGATGGAGACTGGAGACCTGTCCATGTGTCTCTGGTGAACTGGAGACCTGTCCATGTGTCTCTGATGGAGACTGGAGACCTGTCCATGTGTCTCTGGTGAACTGGAGACCTGTCCAGGTGTCTCTGATGGAGACTGGAGACCTGTCCAGGTGTCTCTGATGGAGACTGGAGACCTGTCCAGGTGTCTCTGATGGAGACTGGAGACCTGTCCATGTGTCTCTGATGGAGACTGGAGACCAGTCCAGGTGTCTCTGGTGAACTGGAGACCTGTCCAGGTGTCTCTGGTGGAGACTGGAGACCTGTCCAGGTGTCTCTGGTGGAGACTGGAGACCTGTCCAGGTGTCTCTGGTGG